GGGGGCCCTGTGCAGGCCCCTGGGCTCTTCCTCGGGCACTCTGGTGGCTCGCGAGGGCGGACGGACAGACGGACTCTGCGTGCAGGCCCCACGCCGCGTAGCTTTTCACGTCCGGCTGCTCACAGCTTTTTGAGGCGTTCTTTGCAAACGCAGTGTGTTCAGATACCTGTGGGAAAGCTTTCCAGTCTGTGGTTTGCAAAAGCCCACACTGTGCAAGGAGTCAGTGCTGTAGCTGCACCCACTATGCTCTTGTTTGTTTTTAATCAATGTCTTCCTGTTGCTGCAGTTTCCCTTTTCCATGCTTTGTGGTTTGACACAGCATTTATCAAGTTTTCATACGGGTAATGGGAGTCTGTCCTCAGTATTGTGTTGTGCAGTTTACATATATGACATTATAATTTCCTGTCCTGGTGGCCCCTCCAGTGTCCCTCAGCATGCTGCTGTCTGCCAGACCAGGGTGGTGATAGTGAGTGTAATCAGTCTTTAACATTATTTTGATTTTTGGCATCTGACTCCATAGGGATTCTATCCACACAGGTGGGTTGTGGTTCCATTCCAGCTGCCAGTGCTGAGCTCCTACCATCACTTGCACCGGTCCCCCCAGTCGCTGGTTTTGAGGGCACACACCCTCCCAGACACAGTGGCTGGCATTCAGGACCCCCACCTGCTCCAGCAGCTCTGTGGGACCCCACGGACTCCAGGAATTGAGACCACAGCCCTGGAGTGCCCGCACCCCTGTTTGGCTGCATTAGCTGCCACCAAATCCACTCACGCTGGTCCCCCTAGTAACTGGCGCTTTGTCCTTGCAGCGCTCACGCTGATGGGATGCAGAGAGATCATGCAAAAAGATAGCTACAAAGGATTTAATGAGAAAGTAGGACAGATGCGGTGGCCAGGTGCAGGGCTGGGTCAGACAAGCGCACTGACCAGCTCTGTTTTACTCGTGACCAGTCCCTTTTATACCCCTTTCTGTCTGTTCCTCCCCAATCCTCTTCCCCTGCATGTTCCCTCATCCCTTTTCGCAGTCACACCGACCCCTGTGAGCATCCTGGACCCACAGATCCAGAGGCTGACTCTGTGCCAGAGGCTGCTTATGTCCAACCCACGGAACAGACTATTTTATGGACACAAAGCATACATGTGGGTGGTGGGGAGCTCCTAAAGGTTGCCTCTTCTTCCAGGAGCAAATACAGTCGCAGCTGGAGAGCCTCCAGAGAGAGAAGGGAGAACTGGAGAAATGGGAAAGGAAGGAGCAACGGATCTGCCAGTATTATCTGGTAGGCTCATGGTGCTACTGGGAAGAAGCTCATTTGGGGAGGGTGAAGAAAGGTTAATTCTTGGCCTTCAGAGTTGGGAGATTGAATCGTTGTGTCCAGCTTTTGGTGCATAATAAACACCCTGGGAATCACAGTCATGCTCCATACCAGAACGTAAAAGCTGTGGATGCTTTTAATTGCTGCCTGTCCCTTTCCATGGTCCCATCCTCCCTTGAGAGGATTGTTTCTGCTCATAAAGGAAAAAGTGAAGGTGGAGAGGCAGAGGATTGTGCCTGAATTTAAGCAACTGCAACAGTACCTGGAGGAACAGGAGTGCCTGCTGCTGGCTCGGCTGGGAGAGCTGGAGAAGCAGATTAAAACAAGATTGAAAGAAAATGCTGCTAAATTCTCCAAGAAGATTATTTATCTGGATGACCTGATCAAGGAGAAGGAGAGTCAGCTGTCAGGACACGAGTCCCTGCAGGTGAGGTCCGCTGAAACACCAGCACTGTCTTGTCAAACAGCATGTAAGGCACTGGCAAATTGGAAACGCATGATGGGCTAACCTTACCTTGATTATCTTACTTATTAATCTTACCTTGCTGGTGTGTCTGTTCACTGTGTAAGGGGAATGTGTGTGCAGGATAAGTAGCACACTGAGCTGCTTCTCTCTTTCTCCCATCTAGGACGCTGGTGACATTTTGAGCAGGTATGTGTTGCTTTCTCCTTTACATCACACTGCTGCTTTGGAGTTGCAAAGATTCCTGCCCCAGAACAAAGCTGGATACCTCAAATACCAGGGATGCCCCATTGATGTTTATATTTAAGTTTTCCAGAGGCTGATGAACCATTATGACGATACCAAGAAAGTCTATCCCTGGGGAAAGATTCAAGGAGGACATTTCATTTCCAAGGTCTCCAGTTGCAAGCCTAGTTAGCTTCTCTATGAGCGATGTGTAGCAGCACTAAGGCATAGAGACCAGGGCGTTAGTGCCCTTGGCTTGGGGCTTCAGCACTTGGTTGTGATGCAAGTTTGGCCTGAAGGGACAGGGTGACTGGGGGCACCAGGACCATCAGTCCTAATAGAAATTTAATTAGCAATTAGACCATCAGGACAGAGTAGTGACCTAGCCAATGAGACTTGCTGTTTCTCTTCTCATTGATGCTTTTTTTTTTTTTTTTTTTTTTAAAAAAGGGTGGGGATGGGCAGTGGGTGGAGGGATGAACTTTCTGGAGGGTGTTGAGTCAGCTGGAAAGTGGCCTCTAGCAAGTGGCACTACCAGGAGATTGAGTTAAAGGAGGAATATAAATGCTGTGGCTTGTGCAACTCCAGGTGTGAGGCGGCAAAACTCCAGCAAAAGGAGAGGATGAACCATGAGCTGAAGGAGCCCAGTGTCTGCTCAGAAAAAGCTCCCACGCTAGAGGAGATAGCAAGAAAACCCCAAGGTACAAAGGAGCGATCTCTGAGGAGAACAGTGAAGCATCCCAGGGGTGGAAAGAAGGGGGTAGTCAATGCCCTGCAAAAGGGAGAAAATGCTGAATATCTTTGTGCAGCATGTTTTGCCCTGGGGACGCAGTGGAGAGGTGTGACAGCTAAAGTGGGAGGGTGTTCTGACCCCACCCCGCCCCGTGCCTTGATCTCCCTTTACTTTTATTTTTCCCCAAAAGAATAGTCAACATTAGTGTTGATTCACATCATCAGCTGTGGAGCCCACTAATACATTGCTGTGCATGTGAACCTGTTTCAACACCCTTTGGTGCAACACCTGACTTGGATGCTGCCACAGCTCTTTCTGCTGTAGATCTGTGCTCCAGACCTGCTCCACGGTTGGAAGTGGGTCAGGGATGTGAACAAGCCCCAGATGTCCTCATATGCCTGAATGATTCTCAGCTCTTGCTCTCCTAATGAGGAGGCTCATCCCCAAAGAATTGAGATGACTATCAGGCAGAGCCTGGCATCGTGCAGAGTAATTTAGGCTGGAAAGGACCCCTGGAGGTCACGTAGTCCAAACCTCTGCTCAGAGCAGGTACCGCTAGGTGGGATTGCTCTGTGTTTTTTCCAGTTGAGTTCTGAATATCTCTGAAGATGAAGATCCTACAACTCCTCAAACTGTCTTGGTGACCCTCTAGATGTGCTGCAGTCCATCTTGTGCTAGGTAGCCCCAAATTCTTTTTTGCTCCTGCTGCTTTAGGTTTCTTCCTTCCTGCTTCAACTGGAGAAGCTGGCAGGCGCAGCAAGCAGCGTGTGCACTGGGGAAGGAAGGGTGCAGTATCTCTGCCCACCAGCTCCCTTGAGCTCCCTGGAGCTGGTCTCCACAAACCACCTCTCGGTGTTGGTGGTGTTATCTAGATGTCAGAGGTGACCTCTGGGCTCCATCTCTCTTTCAGATGCTTTGACAACTGGCACAGGGGAGGGAATGGAGGAATCACAGGAACCGTACACAAAAGGTGAGTTCTGCTGGGGAGCCTCCTCCAATTAGCTCTCTTTGTTAGGGATGCAACACGTGTTTTGGGGGACAGTGAATCTTCACATGCCTTGGCTCAGGGCACAGAGCGGCTCCCCGTTTTGAGCTAGGCACGTTCTGGAAGAGAAGTATTGCCAGGTTTCCTCCCAAGCCAGGATCAAACATGGACCCAGCGTGGTGAAGTCCTTCCCAGGACTGATGTCTACCCCCTCATTCTTTGACCGTCTCTTCTCTTGCAGTGAACGTGACTCTGGATCCAGACACAGCTCAGCCTCGGCTTGTCTTGTCAGAAGATCAGAGAAGTGTGATGCAGGGAGCCACACAGCAGAGCCGGCTTGACAACCCAGAGCGATTTGACCCGTGGCCTTGTGTGCTGGGCTGTGAGGGATTTGACTCGGGGCGACCATGCTGGGAGGTGGAGGTGGGCTACGGGTCATGCTGGGCTGTGGGTGTGGCCCTGGAGTCTGTGAAGAGAAAGGGACAGATTGACATGAGCCCCGTCGGGGGGATCTGGGCAGTGGGGCGGTATAAGGAGAAGTTCCAGGCTCTCACTTCCCCATCTCCCACCCCTGTCCTCCCCAGCACGGTCCCCCGGAGGGTGCGGGTCTGTCTGGACCTTGCAGGGGGGCAGGTGATGTTTGTCAACGTTGACAGCGAGGCTGTGATTTTCACTTTCTCGCGAGCCATGTTTGCGGGGGAGCGAATCCACCCCTGGTTCTGGGTGGGTAAGGGGTCTCAGCTCAAACTGTGTCCTGAGACCTGAGTAGGTATGTCCCTCCAAGGAGGCTGTGCTGTGGCCACCCTGCCCTCCTGCATCCCCATCTAGCTAGTCCTTGGGGACTGCCATCTGCTTACAGATCTTCTGCCATCTCCATCTACAAACCTGCCATGAGCCTCAGAGGCTGTCGCATTCTTGTCTGCCTGCCCGCAAGGAGTAGGAATTGCCTCACTGGGAGCAGAGATCTGTGGGCTTCCCCAGTTTGGTCCTACCACAGTGGAAGAGGCTTAGAGCAGGGCTCTGGGTGAAGAATGGCCATTTCTGGGGACATACTTTATTTACAGGAGCCATGAGGGGGATTGAGGGGTGTAGCAGTGGCATTGGAGTGCCTAGCGGTGGTATATTTTTACTTGAGGAAATAGGCAGATGGGTAAGGAGGATGAAACCTTGCTCAGCAGCCCACCTGGCCATGGGGCAATGCTCTGTAGCCCTGAAGCCTGGGCAGCCTCCAGTCCCAGTGGTTGGCCTGATTTGATTCCTGTGTTAGCTCAAGAAAACACAAGTAAATACTCATCTTTTTGGGAGGTGCTAGCAGGATTTACCTCCCCAAATAATTTTGTGGGTGGAATTATAATCGCTGCTTTTTAACAAATCAGTGTACCCAATAATTCTTCAGTGTTCAACTATTCAGTTTGTTTCTCTGGTTGTGATGAGGGTCTTGGAAAGAAAATTTAGAGGTTTAGATCTTCTCCAGCCAAAGAACTAATATCAGGAATTTCCTGAAGTTTAGGAAGAGGCTGTAGGATTTGCTGGTTTGAGACTTGCTGATTTGTAGAACTGCCAGGACCTCTGGCATTGCATGCTAGAAGTGAAAAATATGAATAACCAAAATTATATAAATAACCGAAGTTCAACTGCTGGTCAAACAAATGTGAGGCTAAATCCCATCCCACAAGATCTTGCTGACACATTGGCTCCATCTACTTCTGTTGAAAAAGCTGACCTGTGAAAGGGAGGTTGGGGGCTGGAGCGGAGGGGAGGGATTCAAAGAACGGTGAAGAGAAACAATGCTACAAACACAAACTCTGCCTAGGATGCTTAATACAACCTCTGGAAAGGGGGGGGTTATGAAAAAGCATCTGTGAAAGTCATAGGTTTCTCAAGGGTGAAGCCCACCCCTTTTCCTTGCTCTGCAGCGAGAAGCCCATGGTGATCTGCTGGGTTTGGCTGTGGTGCTGCTGCAGGGTTTTATTCCAGCTCTTCCCAGACACAAACCCAGCTGCCTTCCTGCTCTGGCTGTGGGATCTCACCTTCCTCCCAGTGTGCTTGTGGAAATGCAGAGCCATGGCCCTGGCCAGGGGTGTTGCTTTAAGGGGTTTTGGGAGATACCCAATTTATCGTTATAAGTCCGGTCATGTTTAGTGTACTGAACTATCACGATTACGGATGCACAAATAACGCAGGCACCTTCCATCTCATTGCATTGCGTGAACTACCACAGCCTCACTTAAAGTGTCTGGTCACGTTCAATGAGAACTATCATGGCTAGACCAATGAATTTAGGCAATTTATTAAAGTAACAGACACACAGGTTCTTTGGATTATGGGTGATAAATTCACTGTCTGCAAAGCACGTGCAAATACCAAAAGCATGAATAACACAGATGCATCAAAAGATATAAAATGACTCTATCTAGAGGTTTCTAAGTTTCCCGCAGAGGCACTTGGTATAACCAAGTGTTCAAATCTTACCCAAAGGTGTCCTGATGGGGGGGAAGAGAGGCTCAGCCTGTCGACTGATCCCAGAAGTCAGAGTGGTACACAGTGGTATCTTCCCTAACATCCCCTCTCTCTTAGGCTAATTTATACTATTTTTTACCTTTCAGGTGGAGCTTGAGTGACTCTAGTCATACATACTTTTCTTATGATTGGTGTAAAACTTTCTCGCTTCGCTTTAAAGGTATAGGCTAGGAAAAATTCAAAGCACAAGCTCAATGAGGAGTGGTTGCACCTTAGAGGTAGGTAGGTTTTGGGTGGAGGTGTGTTTTGGTATTATAATGATACTATAATGAGCAAAATTTACCAAAGGACAGCATTTTGTCAAAAACATGACAGACTCTTGGCCCAGGGTCTCATATTATACCCTTTCCTATTGTGGTCCATTCATCCATCATTTGCCCAGGTTCTTGCAGTGTTCCATTATACTGCACTCTGTTCCTTTGGTAAGTACATCTACAATAAATCATTTGCCATATTCTGGCATGGTCAGGACTATACAGGGACCGAAAGCAGCAGCAATAAGGCCCTTTCCACTTTTCAACGAGTGCTTCATCTTTTCCATGTCCGTAGATGGACCAAGTCTCTAGGCTTGAAGGAGTGTACTGGGGAATCCAAGGGCTCAGGAGCTGCCCCAGCTGGGGAGAATGCTTCACAGCAGTCCCATCTGGGGTGCCACACAGAGCCTGGCTGCGGTGTCTCCACACCGCTCCACCCTCCGGGCAGTTCCTCCTAGAGCCAACACACCAAGTTCCCCCGGTGTTGCCGACATCTAAGGTTGCAGGCCTAGGGAACTTCCGTGGAATGGATTCCTTGCATGCCAGCCGCACTCCACCCTGGAAGCTTCTTCAGTGCTGTGCCTTTCCTAAAATTGTGAATCTAAGTTTAATTTCTAAGTCACCTCCAGCAATTATTCTACAAGGGGTAAGCTCTCCCTCCTCCTGCATGGGCATAGCATCAGCTTTGGCACCGGGAGATGAGGATGTGCTGGCGCCAAGGTGTGGGCAGCTGCTTGGAGACCTTGTCCGTTCCTACCAGGATTTGCCCCTCTTCTGAGCTCCGTCAGGAGCACAAGTTTTGGGATTGGCTCCTTGGGTGGTCGTCTGGGTTGCTTTGCTGGATTGCTGGTCCCACAGATGTGCAAAGCCCAGGTGCAACGGGATGTCACCTGTCCCCGTACAGTGAGAGAGATTGGTGAGCCCATCCCGTAGTGCCAGGGCAGGATATCTTTGCCTAACCTGGTGCTGCAGTTCGTTCCAGCTACTGGAGTAGACCAGGGAGACTAATGCTGTTGCCTGTCCCCAGCTGCCACCGCAAAGGTGACAACTGAGTTGTCACTAAGAGGGGCCAACCAGCAATGTGGCTGGAGAAGATGAAATCTAGGCAGGACCCAGGCAATGGTCCCCTTTGCCTATGTTCACCTCTTCTCCGAAGAGCAGGAGTTAGCAGGAGAGGACAAAGCAAGGCCCCTGGGAGTGGGGACCCCCACACACACCCCTTTTGCAGGTCTAGCATGTCCTTTGAACATCATTTCCCCCAAATGCCAGTTCTCAGGAGCAGATCTACGTCTGGAAGGCATGTTCCCTGAGGAGTGGCTGAGGACTCTGGGTTTGTCTCTTTTTGGAGAAAAGGAGGCTGAGGGACAGCCCCATTGCTCTCTGCAGCTTCCTGAGGAGGGGCCGTGGAGAGGGAGGTGCTGATCCCTTCTCCCTCCAATCCAGGGATAGGACACGTGGGAATGGTTCAAAGCTGCACTGGGGGAGGTTCAGGCTTGATGTTAGGAAGCATTGCTTGACCAAGAGGGTGTTCAAATACTGGAACAGGCTTCCTTGAGAAGTGGTTGATGCCCCATGCCTGTCAGTGTTTGAGAGGCATTTGGACAATGTTCTTAATAACAAGTTTTAACTTTTGGTCAGCCCTGAAGGGGTCAGGCAGTTGGACTAGATGATCGTTGTAGGTCCCTTCCACCTGAACTAGTCTATTCTATGTCAGGAGAAGGAGGCCTTGATGCAGGCAGATCAGAGAACTGCAGACCTGTGGGAACTGGCTTGCCTGTGGGCTTCAGACACTTCTCAATTTCTTGCTTACCTTCCTTGGCTGTCCCTATAGCTTTTACTAGTGCTCTGCTGTAAGAAATGTGCTTAATGCACATGTCAGTGAGAACTGGAAATAAGGCAAGGAGAGGCTTTGGATGTATGGGAAAGATAAGTGTTATCATGAGCTCCAGCATCCATCTATGTTTGGGTGTGGTTTTTTTTTTAACTTAATCATTAAGCTTAATTGAAAAAAGCCAAAGACACTACTCCACCACCTTTTAAGGAGTTTGAACTTGCTGTATTTTTCATGGCCTTGTACAGAGCAGCTCTGCAGTGCCCCAGCACTCAATGCCACTTCTCTGCCCTGGGGCCACCTGGCACCAAGCTCCTCCATGCAACAAGTCTTTGTGCTTCCTGTTGTCTCTGCAGTCCTAGCTGTGGGGTGGAAGGGATGAAGGAGACTCTTTGGTGGCATCCATCTCCAAGACCTGCCAGTCCTCCTGCTTGGTGGCCAGAGGAATCATGCAAGGAGAAGCCAGCAGGACGCAGGACCCTCCCAGTTCTCACCACCAAGATCCAAGATGATGGTGTTCGCCTCTCCAGTCTCCCTGCCCCTGCCACCCACGCTCCTTCCATGTCAGGGGCACACCTTGAGCCATGAGTCCATCCCCACCCAGAGCCATGGGCGTAGCCTCTCCCTGGGATGTGAAGCCAGGCAGAAAGCAAAGATCAGGGCTTTGTTTTCAGCATCAGCAAATGCCACCTGCCTGTCTGTAAAGTCCAGGCAGACCTGGATGGCCCTGGGGAGGCAGACAAGGCGCAGGGGGGTCCAGTCAGGGTCGGTGAAAGCATGGTATTGTCCAAACCACTGCCCCACGGCCCAGATCCCCTCCTGGGGGGTAAAACTGAGGACTCCCTTCCTCCTGACAGACTCCTGGGCCACCCCTACAGCCCACCAGTCCCCTGCCTTGGCCACTTCCACCTCCCAGCAGTGCCTCCCCATGGTGAAGCCCTGGCTGCCCAGCACACATGGCTCTGTGTCAAACCGCTCTGGGTTGTTGGGCAGCGATGTCCACTCGTCCCCCCGTCCCACAACTCTCTGGTCGCCAGCCAGGATGAGGAAGGGGTTGGCGGTGTCTGGGTCCAGGGTCACGTCGGCTGGGGACAGAGGAGGAGAAGCTGCTCAGGACAGGCAGCTCCAGGGGTGCGCTGGAGCTGCATCCACCCTGGCAAGAGAAGGGACAGGGTGATTTCCTTTCCCCTGCCCAGAGATGTCCAGCGTGGGGTGGGAAACCCCTTTGTGCTGGACTGCCCCAGCCTCAATGCTGCCCTGATCCTGCTTCTGATTGAGGAGCTTCCATGTGATCCCTGGCCAAGGAGACCCCAGTTTCCTGGAGGAGGGTGCACCTGAGTGGATGGGTGCACATCTGCTGTGCAGACACCTGGACCTGAGCGTGGGAGTCTCTAGTGCTGCAAGAGTGAAACAGGCACATCTGGGCACAAACCAGTGCAACAGATATTACCCCAAGACCCAAAATTCCTATTTCTTTCTGTGGGCAATGGAAGGAGCCAAGCGTGGCAGCTCAAGTGTCTTTGGTGTCAGTGGTGGGTCTACAGCACGAGGAATTCAGCTGGGGGTGTTGCACCCACCAAGTCTCAACCCCATGACAAGCCCAGGCGGGGACAAACCCCAGGTGCTTTGACGCTAAATAGCTCTTCCACAGCAGAAGCAGGATGCATTTTTCTCCTCAACAGAGGGTGGTTCCCCCTCCTCTTCCATTCTAAAAACTCACCTCTTCCACTCATCTCCTCCACCTCATTGGCCAGGGTCTCCCTCTCTTCTCTCTCCATCCTGGATACCAGCATGTCTGCAGACAATCAACAGGAGGGGAGGCAGGATTCCCTGTCAAAAGTGGAAATTGCAAGACTCAGAGACCACCTAAAGATGATAAAGAAGCAGAAGGAACGATGGAAAAGTCACAACATGGCTGTCTAAAAAGACAGCCAGCACTAACCTGTGGGCTGACTCCAGGAAAGGAGGTTTTGGATGGTTTTGAAGGTCTTCAGTCTGCTCTCCACTCCCCTGACCTCCTCATTAGCTCATGGCTGGACTGGGCTTGCACAGCATTTCCAGCTTGTTCAAGTGAGCAGATCAAAGTCCAGAGGGGCTGGATGGCCTGGAGAGCACAGCTGGGAGTCCAGCACCTTCGCCTCTCTGTGGGGGACCACACCACTGGAGCTTCCACCTCCCCTCCTCTCAGCGACTGCCTCCCATGCCCTGACGCTACTGGCGGGCGTGTGACCTCATCTAACACTTGAACTTGGGAGTTCCCAGCTGACGTTCCTGCAATACCCCCATCCTGTTTGCATCACAGGACCTGCCGCATCTCCCCTCCCTTCGACCAGCTGCGGGTGGGTGATAAGAGCCTGCTGCACCACTGGAAGAGGCCGTATCTTCCTGCAGCAGGACGCTCAGAGCCCTCCTGGGTTCAGCGGCACGACGTGCACCTCCAGCCCAGTGGGATGTCACTTGAGGACACTAGCCACAGACCAGTGGCTATACTCTGGGTGTCCATGCTGTGTATTGTGATGAGGGAAGAGATCTGGCTCCTTACAGGTGCTGCTTGCCCAGATTTGTCATGCTGCCAGTGGGTTTCAGGGTGATGTTTGCAGGGCATGTATTGTTGCTTCAATTGCCCAACTGGTAAATGGGGGGCAGCAGGTGTTGGGCTTTGCATGCCACCTGTCTGTTCTCCAGGCAGCTTTTCATGTGCCCAGGGGTGATGGCCTCATCCCGGCTCGTGGGGAACTTGGGAGGTGGCATACACTCTGCTTTGTCACACCACTCTGAAAGCCCCTGGTTGTGCACAAAATAAAGCAGAGTGCAAGGGGACCTGCTGCCAGGGTCACAGCCTGATGCAGGCGAGGGGCTGCCTTCAGCAGCACTGCAGGACCCGCATCACCCACCAGCACAGGCAGCCATGTCCCCTCCTCCTGCGGGGCTGGCAGAGGCAGGTCACTAGCGCAGGCACGCATGCCACACTCTCTGGGTTCATGTGCACATTTGCGGACCCTCAAGCAGCAGCACGGCCCTTCTGTCTGCCTGGTACCCCTGCCAGGACCCCGGGCCCTCTGACCCCCCCACAGGTCCCCTACTCACCAGCTGGTCCAGCTTGATGCTCTATGCAAACACGCAGCACTCGCACACTCATCCCACAGGCTTCCCAGACTCGTGGGCCCCCCAGACACCAGCGTGGACCCTCCGCCTGTGTGATACCCATGCCTGGACCTGGAGAGTCTGACTCACCAGCCAGCCCAAGCACCCTGACTGGCTCTGTTCTACCCATGACCGGGCCCTTTTATATCCCTTTCTGCCTGTCCTCCTTGTCCTCCCTGATTCCCTTCCACTGCACATGCATTTAGTCGTTCACATACTTCCACTGACACCCCCCCTCCTAGTATCCTTACAGTCACAAAAGCCAGGCTGGCCCTCCCTGAAGAGATGCCTGCACATTTGTGATAGCCCAGTGATTAGCATGAGTGATGAGGTTGGTTTATTATACTTATCTCTGTTATCACTTGTTGGCCAGCTCTGTGTCTCTGTACATTTAATTTATCGCCTCCTTCTTTTCCTTGTACCTTTTGGCGAGGTCCCTGATCAGGTCCCTTTCCCCAGGCAGATGCTTTCACCTCCTGCGTGCCCCCATGCTCCTGGCTGGGGACGGGAGGATGCCAGACCCAGCTGGGCTGAGCACCCAGTGGGGTTGCCTTTGCGACACATCCCAGGGCAGCAGCTTTCCCTGAACAAACCATCCTCAATGGTCTCGCCCCTTGGCGAGGCGGCAGGGGGGTGCTTTTAAGCAATTTTTAAGCTGGTGCTCGGCTTTGCTCCCAGCCCTGCGCTGCCTCTGGGTGTGAATCCTGGCTCCATCACCTCCCTCCTTCCCACTGCTGCCTCCGGGCTCTTCCCGGGGGATGTGCAAACCGCTGCCAGCATCCATCCCCTCCCAGATCCGGGGAGATCTGTGGGAGGAGGCTGCAATACGCAGCCGTGGAGGGTGTCTGTGGCAGGGAGGTGCCTGTGGACATCGCTGGCAGAGCATTTCAGAGGAAAAGCATTGCCAGGAAAACCCCAAATCACTCAGCAACTTTCATTTTTGAGCGGAAGCAGCGCAGGAGGAAATGGGTAGCAGACTGGAACACAGAGTGAGGTTTTTGTTTGGTTTTCGTACAGGGAGGTGCTTAGCTCGGATCGCGGTGACCCCTCTGGATGCATCGGGGGACAGACGAGCAGCTCCCGCCCCAGCCCAGACCCCATGAAAGAGCTTGAGGCCTCCAGGTACGCAGCATCTCTCAGAAAGCTGCAGATTGAAATAGCTTTCTGCCATCTGCCAAAATTGGTCATGGTTTTCACTTCTCGTACAAAGCGGGGAGTAAGTCCATGAGTGATAAGAGGGTTCAGGGGGGTTCAGAGCAGGGCCAGGTCCCATCTTGGCTGAGTGTTGAATTAGTGTTTTGGTTATTTTGCTTTCCCTGTTCTGAGACCTCCTCCTGCCCTTGGTGCAGTGGCAGGGGATGCACTACCGAGTCCCAGATTTGTCCCAGAATAGTGCGCAGCCCCAGTTCCATGTGCCTTTGGTCTGGGTTTCTCCTTCTCATCCTGCACCTTTCCATCTCTTTTTTAGGGCTGGGTAAGAAACGCAAGGGCTCCATATTAAAACAGCTGCCACTTTTTCATGGAATTAGAGGAGATGTTGCAGCTCGTCCTTTGTTTCCCCATGGGAAATTCCTACAACTTTTTAGTTGTTGGGTACTTGATATGTAAAGCACCACACAAAGTCAGGCTGATGATGGAAAATCGATTTCAACTTTTGGCATCTGAGGGTCTTACCTAGACACTAGAAAAAAGGGCTGCAATCAGCAATAAACCCCTTTAAAAGTGAATTCTGCCTTTGTTTTGTATTCCCTTGTTTCTCCTCCCTTTTGCCCTTTCCCTCTCCTTCCCCGTCTCCAGGTTGTGCAGCAGTGAAGAGGATGCTCTCCGGTTTCCACCTGCACTGCTCTCTGCCGGCTTTTATCATTTATGATTTAGTTTTCCAAGTTCACAAGCTGCAGTCAGGTAGGGATCCCCCTGGTTCTTGCTGATCCCTGTGGCATTGCTTCCAGCCTGAATATCTTCCTGGCTGCCAGCGCAGCTACTCCTTGTGGACAGCAGAGCACAGAGCAGGGTCAGGCCCTTTGCCATAAACCTTGTCCACTTCTGAGAGAGCCAGCATCCCTCTGGAGCCTGGTTTATTCCTCTGGCCATGGCAGCACAGGCATTCACACAATCTTGCTGAACTCAGGTGGAGATTAGATGATGCTGATGAGTTGATTATAGTTTGCTGCCATTTCCCTCCTTGCTTTCCCTGTTCCCAGCACATTCCAAGCATGTCACCACTTTACTGGGCTGTGTCCAGGGTGCGCTGGACCCTTTGCAGAACCAATTCAGTAAAGGGAAAAAACAACAACAACAACAAAAATCTTTTAAAAAATATTCTGGGCTCTTTTTCTGTTAGATTGCTGACCTGAAGCAGCTTCTTCAAGGCAGCCCTGGCAAAAGGATGCAGGACAACAGTTGTCTTGAAAGTTTCCTTGCCAAAAAAAAGTTGATTTTCTTTTGTTTTCCTTCAACAAGAAACCACTTGCTCTGTGAGTTGAGTGGCCAGATTATTAATAAGCCTTTTTTTTTAAATTTCCAAAGATGCCCAGAGCACCTGAAATGTTTTTATTTTCTCTTGTAATAGGTGCGAATAGCTGAGGATATTTGAGTTTTATTTGTACCCAGGTTGTCTGCTTTCTCCAGCCAACCACCCAGAAACCTTCCAGCCACTTCCTTCCTTCTTTATCCTGCTTTCTCCCAACCCTAGGCAGCATGGGCAGCACTTGTCCCTTTGAGAACAAATGATCTTTTAGGGCTTTGAAGAACTTTCACGGTAGTGCAGGACAGGGAAACAGAGGAACAGGCAGTGGCCTGGCCCCAGCCCACTCACTGTGCTGCATGGCAGGGGACCCTCTCCCAACCCTCCCTCAACCCCTCATAGCCCCTGGCGTGATTACGCTCCCAACACGATGGCATGGCCCAGCAACGCACGAACTGTGTGGAGCAGCATCTGCTGGTTTTCTGAGCTCAGTCTCCACAGCAAACTCACAGTTACTTTTCTTCCTTGGGGGGGTTTCTCCCAGCTCCGCTCAATGTGACGGTATCCCCCGGCCCCATCACCGTGCCCATGGGTGAGGACGTGGTGTTGCCCTGCCACTTCTCCCTGGAGCAGCGCGCACAGGACACGGAGGTGATCTGGTTTCGGGAACACTTCTCACCCTTTGTGCATCGCTACAAGGGGGGCCAGGACCAGTACGGGGAGCAGATGCTTCAATACCAAGGGCGCACTGAGCTACTGAAGGATGGCCTCACCAAGGGCAGCGTGGACTTGAAAATATTCCATGTCCAACTGTCTGACAGAGGGAATTACACCTGCTTTGTTCGCCGTGACTCGGATTACGATGAGGCTGTGGTGGAGCTGAAGGTGACAGGTCTGTAGTCCATGTCCCTGGTATCTCTAATTTACTTGCTTGTAGCCAGCGCTCTTTTCCCTGTCCTTCTTCCCAGCAGCAATTTCAGGTGGTTGCTTGGGAAATAGGGTTTTTATTAAGTCCAGTTGTTGAAAATACCGACAATGTCCAGAGAGGTGAAGTTGCTGACTGAGCAGCTGTAAGGAGCTCGTGAGATATGCTACCTACCTCATACATATGGTTTTCTTCATATAAGTGGGTGCAAGAAAAAAATTGGCATTGGGTAATACACTAAGAATGTCTTGGTTTGTGCTTCTATATTTTAATATCCAGGCCTGCAGATTATTTTGCTGCAGTAGTAGCCTCCAGAGCAGATCTTTGAGTTATGTGAAAAAGACGGCAAGAAATGTCCTGACTCCAGGTGACACTTGTCTTAAAAAAACCCCTGGGATTTGTCTATGTCGAAGTTCATTCCTTCTTGTCAGGGAGAGGAACAGCCAGGCCACCTTATTCCCCTGTTATCCAGCGTCCCTCAGGATCACCCAGGAGTCTCTGTTTTCTCGCAGCCAGCGGCTCTGCCCCGCTCATTGTGCTGGAGCGCTACCAGGATGGGGGGATCCAGGTGGCCTGTCGCTCGGCTGGCTGGTACCCACAGCCCCAGGTGCTGTGGCAAGCTCCCCATGGGCAGCATCTCCCACCCCTCTCGGAGAGCGTTACCCAGGACAAGAACGGCCTCTTCGCAGCAGAAAGCAGCATAATTCTCACCAGGGGCGCGAACCAGAAACTCTCCTGCTCGGTCCGACATGCCCTGCACGGCCAAGAACAGGAATCAGCTTTTTACATATCAGGTGAGCAGAGGACGAGGGTGTCACCCTGCTAGCATTCCCAATGGAGCTGCACTCGGAAAGCACCACCGGCAGAAAATCTGGGGTGCATTTTGCAGGCTGTGTGTTCAGTGCATTGAGAGTATTTTGCACACTGCCTGTGCAAACAGCTGTGGCTTTCAGCAGCGCTTATGCAGGTGTGCTGCCAAAATTCACCAGTTCTGTCTTGAAGTGTGGGTCTGGGGGGGGAAAAGACAACCCTCATTGTAGCAGAGTTTCTATAAACACCTGGGTTAAATACAAACATTCGTAACACTGGAACCAAACAAAAAAGGAGAAGCCAACCTGTGCCCTTAGTCTCAGCTGCTGTGAAATCCTGTTCTACTGGTTTGGTATGAGAAAAAAATTGTCGTGTCTCATTTTAGCATCTGCTAATACTGGATATATTTTTATTTTTTCCTTGTCACACAGAAAAGCTCCTTTTTTACTGGAAGATTGATTTGGGGGCAGGGAATATATCAGAACAGAGATGCAATGGTGAACTGGACTAACCATACACAGTATCATGTGCTTTTCAGCTGCATCCTGTTCCTTTTTTACTTTGGGAATGAACAATTCTGGGAGACTTTATTTCCTTGGGGGGGCCCATACCTTTCTCCTGGTGATACTGCTGTGCACTGGAGTGTTGCTGTTGATGCATATTCTGATCCTACGTTGCCTAATGAAGTATAATTTTTTTTTTTTCCAAAGGAGAAGAAAGCATGATTTAACTAGAAATAATTCAGTTGTTAGAAATCCATTTTCCCTTTAAAAATCCCCCACAATGTATGCAGACAAAATGCCATCAGCCTCAGACAAGTGCTCGATTGCCAAAATGGATTTTTGTTTTACATATTATTTTTTGTTGGCTTGTGGAGTACAGTCAGGAGCTGATTTTCACCCTCAGTGGGATTCAGCCCTGCTTGGGATGAGCTTGTATGAAATAGAAATAATCTATGTCCCGTTGCTGCTTGAAGAGTAACCTGATCCCTTTGGGGATTTTATTTTTCAGATCCTTTTTTCCAAAATGCCCATCCTTGGATGACCGCTCTCGGCATCGTCCTGGTTGCTGTGGTCGCTCTCCTTATTATCACTGTTTATCTATTTAGAATTAAAGGTATCATCCTGGTGGAGTGTTTGGGGAAGGGGGCTGGGCAGCTGTCCTATTCAGCCACCTCTGGTTTTGACAGATGAGTGGGCTTGAGCAGTGCCAGTGTCTTGCCTCTGTGTCTTGGACACATGTATGGTGCCAGGCAACTTAAAGACCCAGGGATTTAATTTCTGTCAAGAAAAGAAAGGTTGTTTCTCCAGCAAGATGGCTAAGAAGGAAGTGGGCATTAAAGCAGCGTGAGCCAGCCATTCCTCTGCCCCAGGTGAGGGTGGATTTTGCCCGCAGAAATGGAGCAATAATTTGCCTGGCCCTGCAAAAAACGCCTGGCACATTTGGGGGCCTAGCAGGGCTTCCTTTCCTTCTGAAAGAGTCCTCTGGGGGTAAAAGAGAGGAATAAAGGAAACTGAAATCCTCTGTTTCTTACCAAAAGGAGATGGAGCCAGTGGGTCGTGCAGGCACTGCAGCACTTCCAGACCCCGTGGCCTTTCTGCCTTGCAAGTGGCTGCAACTCCTGCTGTACTCTTTGTAAGGGATGATTTTTTAAAATTATTTACATTTCTTTCTTTCTTTCCTTCATAGGAAAACATGAGAAAAAAATAGGTAAGCTTTACTTTCCATTTTCAAGAAATCGGAGTATTCCCTCAAATGGAAGAATTCATGGGGCAAATTTCTGGGTGACGTGGAGGAGGGAAACAGTTTAGCTAGTGGCTATAGAAAATTGTGAAATTAAATTATGAAATGATGAAATGATGTTGTAATTTTAAGGACAATCATTACAGAACCAAAGAAAGCGTGAACAAATGTACCAAGCTTTGCTTTTCAAAGGGCTCTCAAGGTTCTTCCCAAAGCTGGAGGAAGCTTTCGGGTAGCACATTTCAGGGGCCTCAGCTTTGTCTCAGCACTAAAAAAACACAGGGCAGGATGGTTAGGTAGCACTGAGGGTGAAATTTAACCCCATGCTCCTCCCATGTCAGTGCGAACCTGCCCCTTCACCGCTGCCCTGGAGCTGGAGCCCTTGCTCAGGTCTCCAGCAACGCAGCGCTGGCCTCTGCCCAAGGTGGGTTCAGGGAGGGTGGGCAAGATCTCCAGAAGTCTTGAGAAGAAAGGTCCTGAGGAGCTCCTGGGCTGAAGCTTTTCCATTGTGAGCAATTTCAGCTTCCTCCCTGCCCCAACAAGTGTATCAGGGAAAAAGGAATCGGTTTTGGTGGTGATGCTCTGTTCTGGTTTTGCTTTTCAGCAATGCAAGAGGCAGCACTGCGTAAGTCTTGCTCTCCATCTTCCTGGTGAAATCCTCTGTGAAAACTTCCAGACTTTTTTATTCATCCTCTCATTCTGTCTGAATGTTCTTTTTAGGCAGATACTTTACTTCCCCCTCCTCTGACCCCCTAATAATGTGAAAATTCACTCTGAAAAGTCATTAGGATTTTTTTTCCCTGAGCGGCTGTCAATGCTTTTTAACACTCTTATTTTATTTTAAATAGTAAAATAGTACTGAAAAGTTATTGGTTTTTAGGGGAAGATTACAGAAACCTAAGCTATTGAGAATTTTCTTATAAAGATGTAGATTGTTTGATTACCAAGAAAAAAAGCCCAAAAACACTTGAAGAGGGCATATATTTTTGTTTGTAGCTCATAGAATTGCCAAGAAATAGTCCTTTGACTATTGAAAATGAGCTCTTGCTAAATTGGTGCCATTGCAGGGGGAAATAAGTACAAGTAGCTCACTGGAATCATGAACATCCTTGCAATCAGAGTATAAATCAGAGCATCTGCACCTGTGTGGTCCTTTAGCTGGGGTCTCAGGGAAGGGCCTGTGTCAAATAGTAACTTGTGTGTGGTTTTGTTTGTTGTTCAGGGGACCGTGATGCAGAAATCGGTGAGTCTCCTTCTCTTCCTTACAAAGGATTTTTTTTACAGAGTCTGTATAGGGTGGTGGGTTTTTTGTTTTTTCATTTTCACTTTTCAAGTGTGAAGTGAACCAAAAAGTGGTTGGGAGGTAGGGGGGAAAGGAGAGAGTGAATTTGAGGATCCAAAAATTAAAAATCATTGAAGATGGTGTCTGGGATTGGGGATAGATGACTGCAGTGGTGGTGCAGGCAGGGTGAGAGTGCCCTGCGACAGGTCCCCTTGTAGGTGAGGGACCTCCCAGAGACCTTTTCCTGCTGCAGATTTGAGCAGGACAAGGTCTGCACCATCACCTACAGAGCAGAGCTCTAGGCTGGGGTGGGAGAGGGCTTTGCATTGCCAAGTGTTGGCAGAAACCGCCCTCCTGCATGTGCAGGCGGTTACGGGAAAGGTTATGTCCAAATCAATATCCCAAAACCCATTTGTGCTGATTTATCTTCTTTTTCAGAGCAGCAAGCTGAAGAACTTGGTGAGTATTGTTCTCCTTCCTACATGGGAGACACTTGAGTTGGGCCATTTTGTCATCTGGGTTTTGCACGTATGCCCTGGTTTTGGTTTTCCTTTTGGGAAAGGAAGAGGTAGCAAATACTGAACTAATTTCAGAAACATTATTTTCCTTTGCTTTCTATGTGTTTTTAAGCTATTCCCTGTAATCCTTCTATACTATGAAGAAAATTATTTCAGTTTTCAAAGAAAGTACAAACAGACCATAAATATATGTCTGAATCAGGACAGGCAGCGTGATGATATTTGTAGAAAACAGATGGAGCCCTTTCATGTAGCTAGACATTGAAGTCTGAAGCTACACGCTGTGAGATGACTTTCACAAATATAGCAACAATTCAGAAAATGTGCAACTACACTGGCATATGTGTTCAGATTACCTCTCATCTGTGGTTTGTTTTTTGTTTGTTTGTTTTTTGCTTTTTGTTTTTTAAAGCATGGAGAAGATATGCAGTGCCTATAGAAGAAGGTAATTAAAGTTTGGTCTTTCAGGGTGCTGAATGATCCTCCCTGCTTTAATCTCCCTTCCTAGTAGTTCCCCTCCCGCAGTGATGCTGGTGGGACCAGGGATGCTTCTGCCAACCCTCACTCTACAGGAGGGAGTGTAACACTCAGACCCCTTGTTCGTTTGGTGCATGCCCAAGTTTCATGCAAATCTGGAGAGTCCCGGTCGTCAGTGAGAAGTGCTGGCCACCTTTTAGAAACATGGGGACTTCTTCATCCTGAAGGTCTGCTGACGATCTTCTTCCCTCTCTGCATGATGTCATCTCTCTGCTTCATTTTCTGTTCCTTGCACTAATATTGTTACCTTGTGCAGCTTCCCATGCGAGTCTGCCAGATATTGCTTGCACCCTTTTTCTTCTCCCTTATGCAGCCCCAGCAAAGATCTTTCCTGGGGTGAGCTTTGCCCTGATGTGTTGACGCCATCTCTCCTGCAGTGAAGGTGATTCTGGACCCAGACACAGCCCACTGCGACCTTGTCCTGTCTGATGACTGCAAAAGCGTGAAACGTGAAGACACACGGCAGGACGTGCCCGACAAGCCTGAGAGATTTAACCCGTGGCGCTGCGTGCTGGGCCGTGAAGGCTTCACCTCAGGGAGATACTACTGGGAGGTGGAGGCGGTGGATGGAGGAGGATGGACTGTGGGGGTCTCTCGAGAAGATGTGAAAAGGAAGGGCGAGATAGAGTTCAAACCTGAGGAGGGCATCTGGGCAGTGGGGCAGTGGGCAGGGCGCTTCCAAGCTCTTACGTCCCCTAATCGCACTCTCCTTGAAATCCAGACTCCGAAGCGGATCCGAGTATCTCTGGATTATGAAGAGGGACGGGTGGCATTTTTCAGTATTGATGAGGAGATTCCTATCTTCACATTTCCACTGGCATCATTCGAGGGGATAAGAGTCCACCCTTGGATCTGGCTGGGTCCTGGGACATGGCTCAGAATGTGGCCCTGATGAAAGGGAGGGAGTAAGATAAGGCTTTTTTAGGGGACCTCAGAAGTTCAGACTCACAGAAAGATTTAGGTTGGAAGGAACTTGTGGAGATTTCTGTTGCAGCCACCTGCTCACAGCAGGGCTGACTTCAAAGCTGCCTTAGGTGTCTTTGGACCTTGTTCAGCTGAATTGTGTAGAATCTCCAAGGGTGGAGATCTCATTACCTCTCTGGACCTCTGTGCTGGTGCTGCACTTCCTAAGGGGAAGAATTAACCCTTTATGTTTGGTCAGAATTTCCCTAATTACAACTTGTGACTGTCACCTTTCATCCTCACTCTCTACCTGTTGAACAATACGTCACTGAAAAGACACTCCTGCAACAGGGATCGCTTTTTAAATATACAGAATAAAGTTACTTCAGCAGG